TACTAATATCTGTAATTATTGGTACATTCGAGAATTTGATTCTACGTGAAATTTTATTCTATATATTGAATTATATTCTATATATATTTAATATTTATTATATATATATTGAAGTATAAGTCGAAAGTCTTGAAAGACATAAATAAATTATCAACCCTGAATGATTCTAATTTTTAATTTTCACAGTATCTATAATGATTGATTACGTATAGCGTTGTCCTGCAGCTGTATAATCAGTTTGTTTAAATCAAGTTTTAGATCACAACTCATTTTAGTAAGAAAAGTGATAAGATCCTATCAACATCTGAAGATAAGTAGAATCTTTCGTATAACAAGAGAATTAACTAGAGAAGATGTATTGAGAACTTAACAACAAACATCGGGTTTAGGCTTATTGTAGTTCTTTCAGACCACTGTTGTATAGGAATCCAATTGAAAAAACTGTGTATGTCGTTCGAAATCCACTGTTAAAGTGTCGAAAACTTGACGAAAAACTGAGAAGTACATACTTTTCCTGAGACTGTTCAGCTTGAGCTAAAAGAAAAAACAGACATTAGGGAAATGCTTTTATGGCGGTTGCTCAGACTAATCATCAGTAATAAAAAAAAAAATAAAGGGAATCCAATTGTGTTATCTCGCTGTAATATGATTTTAGGAGGCGATGTTTAGACATCTGTGGACTGGTTTCTGGTCTTTTGATCACTAGCGATTATAACTTATGTATTTATTTATTATTTGGTTTTTCTTGCTTGCATTTCTCTTCTGAGTTTTTTCAATTGATCTATTTTATACTCCAAAACACGGTTTTCTGCAGGCTGATGTTTATTTTCGAACCCATTTGCAGAGTTTAAATAAACGGTCTCGACGCTTTTCTTGGTGTTTTTTTAGACATTTCACTTACTATGTATTGTACCGCCATTAACAACAACTTTCAGAAGTAACTCCGAAGAATCATAGGTCTTTAGTGCAGCAAATAAATGTTATCAAATTAATTAATCTTTACGATGAATCTTTAATATTAATGGAGATCTTTAAAATAAAAGTTTGCTATATTTTCAAAGACTCAAATTATAAGATTGAAGATAAAATAAAAATCTTGGTTGTGTCTTGTAAAACTGTACTGAAAAGTGAATGGATGTAGAAATGATTATAGAGTGTTAATAGAGCACTCAATTATGTTACCAAGAGACGATATTAATAGCGAAGGGCAGAAGTACGACACCTAAGTGGTACGCATTAGCCTCGTTAAATGACGGGAATAATTTAAATATACTTTTCCTAAAGTCTCATCTAACACCAAACAGAAAAAGACGAAAAATATGACTTCTCCAAAACGAGATATTGTTTACTTCAGCATTCCGCTTTAAGCACCTCATGTGATTTGTTCTTATTAAAATCCATGAAGTTGTATGAAAATGCCTCTTAGCATCACTTGCGCTATTCTAAGTAGTTGTGTTTTCGCTTTTTAATAATGAAGTTAATCACCAAACAGAAAAAAGAATAGTGAAAAACTTAAAGGACAATAATTCTGGAAGTGATGGCAAACGATATGTTTCTTTGTAGAACAATCTTTTAGGTTTGATTTTCATCCTTTTTGTAGCAATTTTCTCCCGTAAGAGAAAGATGTCGATGTCTCTATATTTGCAAACAGTCATATGTAGGAGAAGAGTGATGGACTGGTTTGGAAACACAAATAATAAGCCATAAAATTACCAAGAGGACAAGAACCTATTGGCTGTAAATGGGTTTTTGCAGTGAAATATGATACATATGGATATATCGATAAGTATAATGCACAACTGAAAAGGCACACCCATAAGCATCATGTCAGCTATAGTAGCTAAATATGAAATATGATCATCTTAACAAAGCTTCCTTTTTAGATCTTTTTTTTTATTAGGTAAATAATCTCGCTATTTTGCTTCTTAACATTTTTTATAAAAGCTTTTCCAAACAGATTAACATAAACACAGAACGTACAATACAAACAAAGTCACACATACATATGTTAGTTACATTCAACATTACTTATAATTAATAAAAGAGAAAACATTCCTCTTAAAATATACTAAGGTTCAGAATAAAAACTGCACCGCGCTGCTTACAAAGCATAAAAAATAAAAGAAAAAACAAGCCCCGCAAAATATGTACGTAAAATAATCATAACTCTTAAATTAATGCGTGTAAGCGGTTCAATAAAAAAAGTGAACCTCCAATGTTATGCAAAGTAAATAAAAGAGAAAAGAAATGACTGAGCGAAAATCGCTTTACATTTGACCAGAGGTTCAGTCGACTAAACTGAACCCCAAGTTCATACAAAGCGTGTAAATACAATTAAAGTCACAGTTGCCGTTTTATATGAGCAAATGGTTCAGTAAAAAAACTGAACCGCGCATAGTAAATACAAAGTAAAAGAATAAATGAATGTATGAGAGTTTCTTACTTTTATTAAACCAAAAACAAAGTCATTATTGCAATTTTATACTAGCAAATGGTAAAAGTAAAGAAAAAAATTAAAGAAATTTGAAGTGAAAAATAATATTTAAAAATAGATAAATGTGTGATTAAAGATTTGAATTAAATATCTTTTTTTAAACGATCTTCTGAAAGAAAGGTTTTAATTCATAAAATGAATAGACCAACTCCAGATATGAAGAAATTGGTGCCTGATGTAAAAATGTCGAAATCTGTGATAAGTCGCCGGTTTCCTACAGCTATTTACCATAAAAGCCAGTGGACCACAGGCTGCGAACATTTAAATAAATTGTGTTGTTGGTCTTGTACGCTATTTGCTTGTGGAAACGACAAAACTCAGGAGTAGGGGGAATATGTTACAGTTGGAATTCTGTTTTGATCAAATTGTGAATATCTTGCCAAAAACCTGACGCCTCGCTACTGCTAACAGCTATCAATATGAGTCTGCATTATAATAAGAATGATGCGGCAATTAAAGGATACGTTATAGGAAACTCATATACAGGTTATAATAATACAAATCCTAGAGTCAGTAATACAAATCCTAGAATTAAGTCCACATGCTGCACTTTATGAAGAGATAACACTTGGAAATGGAATGATCATAGTCACACCAATAATTGAAGCAAGTAAACTAAAGCCAATATACTAACTAAATAAAACAGATTCTACAAGTAGTAGCGAAAGCCCAAGCCAATCTAAAAACAAAACCATAGAAATCACAAATAAACCTAATGATTGTCGAAAATACAGCACCGCTTGTCCAAAGCTGTCAACAACTTCGCATCCAAACGCGCATAGAAATTTGTTGAACAAATTTGATGGTTAACGTATGTATGGAAATGTCAAATCAAATTGTGGATGCATGTCGAAATCAAAGAATAATGGGTCGTTCTCCAAAACTTTGACTCTCTAATGACACTTCACGGAATATTTTTGCTTGACTTGCATTGAATGTATGCAGACACTACATAAAAGACTTGAACTAATCTTTAAAACTGTAACTAGGTATATTTTTCGCCACACTTGACACACAGCATGTCAAGCTCCATCAAATGCTGATTGAGTACTTCCCACCGTACATAAAGCAGTTTTTTTCAATGTGGGGTTAACCTGTTTAAGGAGTAATTCAAGGTTATGATAATTTATTTAACTTAATGGATATTTTGTATAAATTTTATAATAGCTAGACTACATCAGCAAAACAAGTACGATAGGTGAGCTAAGAGGCCCCAAAAATACATATTTTATTTTTTATTTCTTATAAGTGGTGGTTTCTCTAAGGTAGTGGGAATACTTTTAATAACGAACACCACTGATAGTATATACGACATTGTCAATACTATCACGACATTGTGTCACTTCGTTTCAAGCTCTATACAGGATGATGATCGTTATCAATAAATTAAAGCTCAGTTAGTCCGAATTTGTCCTAAATTATCACATTTTTTCAATTCTTTTAATTCGTAGTTTTTAATAAAATCAGTATATGCTTCTTAGAAGGGAACGTCTCTGATTTCTTTTTTGTAAGTAAAGTTGTCATTTTAATTTCTTGTATATCCTGGTACCTTGGAAACCAAATTATTGCACTTCATTCTTTTTTACGGAGCGTGAAACTCACGGCAAATAAAACACAAAGTAATATTCCGGCGATCAAAATATTTCTATATCATGGTAAACTATATTTTAGACTCTGTAAATGAAAAAATTATGTTTCATTAGTCCTTAAGACTTATTGAGTTTAAATTCGAATATTTTTACAGCATACTGGTCTACAGCGTATTGGAGATTTGAAAAATATTTATCGAGTGGTGCTTGATATATTTGCGACTTAAAGACTATCAAGAGATAGTTTCAGTTTTGGAATAGTACATCCATTTCTACTGGAATTATTCTAAATTGCTATAGATTAAAGGAAAAGGGCCAGAAATAAATGCATACAAATTATGAAAATGTATTAGGGAACTCTTTGAATATCTGACAAAGTTTTCTTCAATTGATAACAAATTTAATTAAATGGATTAGCTTTGGGGTACAAAATATAATGAAAATTGATATAGATAGTTTTGACTATTTCCAGTGAAATCGTATTAAATTTTTCATTCTCCTTAATTTAATTTAGTTTTATTTTTAATTTCAATAAGTTTTTTAAATCCAATTCCTATGGATCCGTTCCTCCTAGAAGTACTGTTTTAAATATTTTTTACCTAAATAGGTTTTTCGTCTTTTGTTTCATGAAAATTTAGACGAATCGGAAGCGATGAATTTAATTTTTATCAAAATCTATCGCGTTTACAAAAGAATAGCCCATATACAGTGGTAAAAACAGGGTCATCATACAGTTTTTCAAGTTGTTGGATTGTTCTATTTCTATATAATGGCCTTTCTGTGTTATAAAAAGGACTATAATATTGATACACCACACTAATCATATAATAAAAGGAATTCTGGGTTCTTTACAGAGGGCTTTATTTATTGCCGTATTTGTATAATTTTTATATATTTTGGATCAATAACATTGTGTGTGTTATTTTTATATTTATTAATATTTGTCAGTGTTTTTAAATGTTTTTTACAATACAAACTAATTCCAATTTCAGCAATCAAACCAATCAAAAATTAATTCAAAAAAGCTGTCGTCGTCGTTATCTTCATCTCGTGGCGTTGTTGTAGTTGGAGTAGCTGGAGTAAGTGAAGTAAGTGAAGCGGCTTTTTTTGGTTTTGGTATTTCCAATAAAATTTCATATATTTCCTTCAGGTTATTTTCAGATTCCTCAGCTATTTCAACTGCCCTTTTCACAGGAACCCCTAAGTCAATTAACAAATTAATCACGTCATATTTGTCAACGGCGGCCTAACGTGTGTCAATATATGAAAATGTTATTATTAATATATATTTAAATAAATAAAAGTTTTGATATTTACATTGACAAACATGAATCCATTCAACAGCAGACTCAGGAAGATGCAGTAAGTCCATAACTTCATTTTGTGCTTCGACAGAACTTTTCTCAAAACTGAAGTTTTCAAAGGAAAACTTGCCTTTTTATACAATAGTTTTTATCTTAAATAGTTGAACATAAATAACTTTTAATTATTTACTTTAATTACTTCTCGACAATGTGACATAAGTAAGTAATTTACTATCATCTTATAGGTATATATTGAGAAACCCAGTGCTTTGTTTAGTAGCGTGGAATTATTAGTTGTAATTTTTTTTGTATTTTAAGATATTTAGATAATTTCTTTGTATTTAAATAGTTTAAAAATTTTTATAGAAATTTAATTATAAACTCTTAAAACTTATAAACAATATTTTTAATATTTATTATTTATTGATAATAAACTTATTCAGACATGCGAAATGTATGCTCGAAATAAAGACGTCCATCCAATGGTAATATCTGTGATGTTAAAAATAATATCCATTAAGAATGTTTACGGCACGAATCAAACTGTGGATAAACGTCGAAACCACAGAATTGTAGGTCGTTTTCAAAGACTTTGATTCTCTGATGACACTTCATGGAATACTTTTTCTTGATATGCATTGCATTTATGCAAATAAATTTCAATTGACCCGGAACTTCAACCAAATATCCAATATATTGAGAGATTTGTGATTGGGTGGGTTTTAGAGAAACTTGATGAAGATTCGCTGTTTCAAAATTAATGTATACAATATTTCAGTAATTTTATTATTAAAATAATTTGCAATATACAATGTTGTTTGTTTTTTTTTTCAATATATTTCAGCAATAAGTTTAAATATATGTGACTTGTAAAATATGTCATTACATTAGACATTATTAGACATTATCTATAGGAATTTGTAAAATTTTTACATTACGAATAGAAAATTTGTAATAGATAACTCATATTTCTTTACGAACTCATGTAAAATGATCTGAAATTAATTAAAGTAAATCACTTTTCATTATTTTCAATTACTTCTCAAGATAAAAACTATTGTATAAAAAGGCAAGTTTTCCTTTGAAAACGTCAGTTTTGAGAAAAGTTCTGTCGAAGCACAAAATGAAGTTATGGACTTACTGCATCTTCCTGAGTCTGCTGTTGAATGGATTCATGTTTGTCAATGTAAATATCAAAACTTTTATTTATTTAAATATATATTAATAATAACATTTTCATATATTGACACACGTTAGGCCGCCGTTGACAAATATGACGTGATTAATTTGTTAATTGACTTAGGGGTTCCTGTGAAAAGGGCAGTTGAAATAGCTGAGGAATCTGAAAATAACCTGAAGGAAATATATGAAATTTTATTGGAAATACCAAAACCAAAAAAAGCCGCTTCACTTACTTCACTTACTCCAGCTACTCCAACTACAACAACGCCACGAGATGAAGATAACGACGACGTCAACTTTTTTGAATTAATTTTTGATTGGTTTGATTGCTGAAATTGAAATTAGTTTATATTGTAAAAAACATTTAAAAACACTGACAAATATTAATAAATATAAAAATAACACACGCAATGTTATTGATCCAGAAAAATTTAAAAATTATACAAATAAGGCAATAAATAAAGCCCTCTGTAAAGAACCCAGAATTCCTTTTATTATATGATTAGTGTGGTGTATCAATATTATAGTCCTTTTTATAACACAGAAAGGCCATTATATAGAAATAGAACAATCCAACAACTTGAAAAACTGTATGATGACCCTGTTTTTACCACTGTATATGGGCTATTCTTTTGTAAACGCGATAGATTTTGATAAAAATTAAATTCATCGCTTCCGATTCGTCTAAATTTTCATGAAACAAAAGACGAAAAACCTATTTAGGTAAAAAATATTTAAAACAGTACTTCTAGGAGGAACGGATCCATAGGAATTGGATTTAAAAAACTTATTGAAATTAAAAATAAAACTAAATTAAATTAAGGAGAATGAAAAATTTAATACGATTTCACTGGAAATAGTCAAAACTATCTATATCAATTTTCATTATATTTTGTACCCCAAAGCTAATCCATTTAATTAAATTTGTTATCAATTGAAGAAAACTTTGTCAGATATTCAAAGAGTTCCCTAATACATTTTCATAATTTGTATGCATTTATTTCTGGCCCTTTTCCTTTAATCTATAGTACTTTAAAATACTTTTGTTAGACATGGATGTACTATTCCAAAACTGAGATTATCTCTTGATTGTAAGTTGAAAATCATACGTCGTCAATATAGCAAGAACAACTCGATAAATATTTTCTTTATCGGTAACAAAGATAGATGGAAGAAAGATCGATCCTGGATAGAGCTTGGATTCAAGTGACTTAGTTCGTGGCTATAGGGTCATTGGTGTTCATTGACCAGTAAATACCAATGTCGAAAAGTTATGAATCTTTAACCAAAATTTCAAAAGTTGCAGGAAACAACAGAAAAAGAGATGTCTAGACACAAAATCCTGTGAACACAGCTTTTATATTATGACATATAGCTCAGAATCCCTTTCACAAGTAACAACTTAACATCAAAACAATTGTCGTTAAACCTACACTAACTGACGAAATTACCAGAATAGTACTGCCACAGTCCTAAATCTTCGACTGAGATTTAAGTCGAACATCTAAAGCTTTAGGAAGCTAATGACCTTATAGTTGACTGTAGTAGTGAAAATAAATATTAAATATCCTTTATGTGTGTGTAATAATAATATAAATCTTGTTATACAAACGAAAGGATAGTAAACGGAACAAAAGGATAAAGACTGAAAAGGGTACTTAATCACGTCACATACACCCATTGGTATACGTTTTGTCCCTGTAAATAAATATAATTTTCTCTAATTCTAGTTCAAATCTGTCCGAATTTTAATATTCAAAGAAAGAGTCAGCTTTACAGTTGCATGACTCACCAAAACATGTCCGTGATATCCAAAGAGCTCAGAGAACATACAAAATTTACATACATTAAGACCGAAAAGTTTTCGGAAATTCTCATTTAAAATTCGCGCGCTGTATATTTTTCGATATTTTAAGTTTATGTAGTTTGGCAGAAATTAAGGACAATTACTATGCCAAAAATGAGCGCGATCTGTCAGACAGTTCGTTTACGGCAGCTGTTGAAACCAGTTCACCTCAGTAGTGCGTTGCGAAAAAAACAATGGAAAAAAATATTGAACAAAGAGTTTGCATCAAATTTTGTGTTTCGAACGAAATTTCGTGTGCAGAATCGTTGCGAATGCTACAAAAGGCTTATGGGGAATCAGTTTTATCGAAAACTCAAGTTTATGAGTGGTACAAAGCCTTTCAGGACGGTCGTACGCCCGTCGAAGACATTCCGCAACGCACTACTGAGGTGAACTGGTTTCAACAGCTGCCGTAAACGAACTGTCTGACAGATCGCGCTCATTTTTGGCATAGTAATTAAGGACAGTGCCGCCAAACTACATAAACTTAAAATATCGAAAAATATACAGCGCGCGAATTTTAAATGAGAATTTCCGAAAACTTTTCAGTCTTAATGTATCTATATATATACATTTAAACACTTCCTAAATTATAAATAATTAGTACTTCTTCCTAAAATCAGGGAACAGGAATTGGTTAGTTTCTTGAGTACTTCTCAAGAATTTGATATATACTTCTTCGGAGTTGTGAACCCAAACGATGTTGCGTTGGTTTATTTTGGATCGGTAGATGGAAATCTATAGTAATTGCATTAGAGCAGTTGTAGATGTTGTTGTTGTTTTTCACGATGTTGCAGTAGCATATCAAAGAACAGATTTTTAGAGTAATTTGTCCACTAAAATTTAATAAATTCATTATTTACTTTGTCGCTATTTAGATCAGCTTCTGACCAAGGTTCTAGTTGATTCATATGTCGTTTAACATAATTTGTATGAGCCCATTATATGTGGATTCAATATGAATTCTATTCCAGGATATACATTAATTCATAATTTAAATCTGCGGCTAAAATATAGCAGTGCATCTAATTTTAGTTTTTTTGTCCAAGCTTTTGATGCGGAATTTAATGCCTTCTTGAGTGTGTTGTCATCCTTCACGTGCTTCTGAATAATCACTGTATGCATTAGCAGTCATCATTAGTGTTCAAGCGTAGACACAATAGTGTATCTGCGTTACATTGCACGGTTGAAGCATCGCGTCTAATATCAATATCATAAGCCATCAGAACGATAGCTCAGCATAGTAATCTGGGAATCTGATTGAAGTCATAGAAAAATATATGTATCATGATTAAATTTGGTTATCAATGGCTTATGATTGATAAGAAGCACTTATTTTCTGCCACACAAATGTTGATGGAATCGTTTTACTCCGAAAATTTAAAAAACTTCTTTCTTTTCAATTAAATTATTTTTAACTTGATCCTTATTAAGTGTTTTAGTTGCGAATGATATAGGTCTTTCGCTGCCAACCGGTTGAATGTTTGACAATACTTCACCGATGTCAAATTTTTATGCATCAGTGGTGTGAACACACCACTGAGATGTAAGATGTGATGTGAGATGTGAGATGAGATGTAAAGAATGTCAAGGTTGAGAAAAAGTGCTACTTTTGGAACTCCAGCTAATAGCGTGTTCTTTTTGCAGAGTTTATTAAATCACGGACATACAGATGCGCATTTTAATAATTGATGATTTCTCTAAGGTGGTTTAAAATTCCTCGTAAGGAAGACACTGACATTGAAAGGAGAATATTGATAAGTTTCAAGTTTTCTCAACTTGTTTACTGAGAGAATGCAGCACTTTATATTTATTACCTCAAATTGAATGAATTATGTATTTAGGAATTAATTACAATAACCAATAAGATCTCTTCATTAGACCAAATTAAATAATATTCAACGCTTTTTTAGTCACTGAATCTGACAAAGATAATAAAAGAAACTTCCGAATGGTTATTAAGACAGTGGCGGATAATGACTTTTTCATATTCAATTAAGAGCACATGTTAGTTTCAAAGTGGAAGATTCATTTCCACTATCCTTATTTCAAACTTCTCTAAGTCAAAGAAGAGGAGTTAAATATAATTGCATACAAATTATGAAAGAGTAAAAGGAAGCTATTGAAATATTCATTTTCTGTAATGACAAATTCATTCAAATGTATTAGACAAACGCTGAGTTTCGGACTACAGAGTTAAATAGGCCTTAAAATACAAAATTCGTACCTAAGTCCATTTTCACTAAAATCGAAATATAGTTTTCTTTGTCCAATTTGCCTTACATTTGGCTGCAGTAGTGAAAAGCAGGTGATTCCAGTTTGCTAAGCTTAAACTGCACCTATACGTTATAATCTTTCTGTGTTACAAATTTGTTGAAAAACTTAATCCGCCACAAAAATTATATATCAGAATTTATACTTCCAGTTCATTGAGTGGGCTCTTCTTCATCCAGCACTATACTCTCCACAGAGGAAGTAGTCATAATATGTATACATAACATTTTTTGTGTGTTAATTTGCTTTATTTGTATAATTTTTATATTTTTGGAATCAATGACATTGTTAAATTTTATTTGTTAATATATGTTAATGTTTTTTTAATATTTTTTGCAATACAAAATAGTTCCAATTTTAATCAAACCATTCATAAATATAAGCTAAAAAGCGATCGTTGTCATGTTGGTGGCTTTGGAGTAGGTGGAGAGGCTGCGGTTATTTGGGTATTTCCAATAAAATATCATATATTATGCCTAGATCAATAGTGGGGTCATCAGCTATTTCAACGGCTCTCTTCTCAGAAACTCCTAAGTCAGTTAACAACCTAATCACGTCATATTTGTCAACGGCGGCCTAACGTGTGTCAATATATGAAAATGTTATTATTAATATATATTTAAATAAATAAAATTTTTGATATTTACATTGACAAACATGAATCCATTCAACAGCAGACTCAGGAAGATGCAGTAAGTCCATAACTTCATTTTGTGCTTCGACAGAACTTTTCTCAAAACTGAAGTTTTCAAAGGAAAACTTGCCTTTTTATACAATAGTTTTTATCTTAAATAGTTGAACATAAATAACTTTTAATTATTTACTTTAATTACTTCTCGACAATGTGACATAAGTAAGTAATTTACTATCATCTTATAGGTATATATTGAGAAACCCAGTGCTTTGTTTAGTAGCGTGGAATTATTAGTTGTAATTTTTTTTGTATTTTAAGATATTTAGATAATTTCTTTGTATTTAAATAGTTTAAAAATTTTTATAGAAATTTAATTATAAACTCTTAAAACTTATAAACAATATTTTTAATATTTATTATTTATTGATAATAAACTTATTCAGACATGCGAAATGTATGCTCGAAATAAAGACGTCCATCCAATGGTAATATCTGTGATGTTAAAAATAATATCCATTAAGAATGTTTACGGCATGAATTAAACTGTGGATAAACGTCGAAACCACAGAATTGTAGGTCGTTTTCAAAGACTTTGATTCTCTGATGACACTTCATGGAATACTTTTTCTTGATATGCATTGCATTTATGCAAATAAATTTCAATTGACCCGGAACTTCAACCAAATATCCAATATATTGAGAGATTTGTGATTGGGTGGGTTTTAGAGAAACTTGATGAAGATTCGCTGTTTCAAAATTAATGTATACAATATTTCAGTAATTTTATTATTAAAATAATTTGCAATGTACAATGTTTTTTTTTTCAATATATTTCAGCAATAAATTTAAATATATGTGACTTGTAAAATATGTCATTACATTAGACATTATTAGACATTATCTATAGGAATTTGTAAAATTTTTGTATTACGAAAAGAAAATTTGTAATAGATATTTCTTTACGAACTCATTTAAAATTATCTAAAATTAATTAAAGTAAATCACTTTTCTTTATTTTCAATTACTTTTCAAGATAAAAATTTTTGTATAAAAAGGCAAGTATCCCTCGAAAACTTCAGTTTTGCGAAAAGTTTTAACGAAGCACAAAATGAAGTTATGGACTTACTGCATCTTCTTGAGTTTGGTCTTGAGTGGATTCATATTTGTCAATGTAAGTATCAAAACTGTAATTTATTTAAATATATATAAATAATAGTTCCTAAATATATTTGACGAGTATCAGGCGGTCTCCGATCAAACCACACCAGAAACATTGACAGAACCAGTGACACCAAAAGAAGAGGACGACTGTATAATTCTATTTTTGTTTAGATTATTTGATTTCTAAAGTTATGAACATTTGCGTTTGGAAAAATAATCTAAATATATTAAACAATTATTTGACATCTTGAAAATATCAAAACATTAACATATATGTAAAATAAATAAACAAAATATGTGCTTATATTAATATGTCTTATCTCTGTAGTTTCCAGACAACTATTATTTTACTATTCTGTTAAATCGGTATATTAAGTTTGTTAGAAAGTTTGTAACAATAACAGGCACTTTAGACTATGCAATTTAATGGTTGTAATTGGTATGTAATACATACGCAGAAGTGTAATATTTTTTATATTATATCATACATTACAGATATGTTATACTTTCAAGGCATAAAATGAAAATACTAGTTGAGTTACTCACAAATTGTGAGCAATAAATCTTATCAAATGAATACGAATTAATTTTAAAAAGAAATCAAAAAGTTTGTGATAAACAAAAATTTATTAAAAACTTGATATAATTGAAATTTTTGACCTTAGCCCTAAGAAAATGATTTCAGATGTCGATGCGACGATATATATATTGATAAGTCGGCATATTATTCATAACAAAAATCTATTCAGACCCAATATTCTCTTTCAGATTTTATGCTATTTTTTTTATATCACAGCCAGGCTTCCTTGGGTCATAGCCTAGGATCTATTTCGAGATAAAGAAATAGAAAAAATATTTACTTGGTTCTTCTTTCGGTCTTTTGACTTCCAGTTCCATTAACATTTTTTAGAGTTTTTAATACTCTGCAGAAGTCTTAATATATTTAAGACAGGCTTCTTTGGCTACGACATTTATTTTCGTGAATTGAAGTAACTGCAAGTAATAAATATTGATTTGATACTTCCATTGCTTATTTCTCTTTCTGATCCATTGTTTCTTCTTCTTCTGCAGCAAACCTTCCTTGTCTAGGATGTTAGTTTTTGTAATTCGAGAAGGTTGGAAATAATAAATATTTACTTGGTTCCTCTATGCTGTTTTCCCTCTTCTGATTCTTTGCTTTTTTGATTGTTCTTTGTATTCTTCATGAAAGCCTCTACGTATTTCTGCCATCCTTCCTTGGCTATTGCATAGTTTGTGGCATAGTCCCTATTTTGCGCTTCAAAATACATTTTGTTTATTTGTGTTCGTACTTCAGGTGAAAAATTATTGTACACAGCTTTCAATAAACCACACATACCCTTTTCACTACAGTTGGGTACATGATCTTCCTTATTGATGCTTGGTCGTCTGTATGTAGTCATTGGAAAAGATATGCTTTGAACCTCAACTGGCTTTGATTCATAAAATTCTAAACAAGTCCAACGCTCATTGGTTTCTTTCATTAGTCTAATTTCAATTTTAGTAGGAAATACTTTATATGAAGACTGCATTACTTTTATAGCATGTAACAGCCTTATATCAAAATTGTAATTCTGAGCGGTTACCACAAGACCTTCCCGTGAAATTTTGACATGACAATCTTTCTCGTCTGACTTTTTTAAAAATATAGTAACAACTACAAATGTTTCCGATTGATACCAGTCATGGCGCACCGACATCTTTTGAATTTTGTTTATTCAAATATACTAAATATATACCAAATTATTAAATGATTTTTTGAATTTACTAAATAATTATACTTTTTTTATAAATAGTTATTTCTGATAAAAAATTTCAAAATCCAATCTCTATGTTGTCTATGTTTTTTGCGTAAATAGAGTTTGAGGCATTGAAAACGTTTTCATAAAGCGAAAACGAATCATATTTTTGGAATTTTATATCAAGTTCGTTGGCCTATCTTATACCCTTTAATGTCATGACCAGTAGAGGATTGCATTTTAATATATAGGTATTAACTAAGACCAGTGCAGTCTGATTGTGTTATAATTTACAGAATGAACTCTATATCTCTCACTATGTGCGTATTATTGCGGCATATCGGAAAACGTAATAGTGGACGGATTTTAAAGAACCTATTCTAATATGATACCCTGGGAAACGCAACCATCTCTCTCTTATATAATTAATGAAAAAATCATGACAGCTGCCAGCACATCAAACTGATCTACACCACTTTCGCAAAACATCTTTCGTTTAAACCTTGCTGTCCACTCTGTTTGAAGGGTAAAGACACCACAGAATATTTTCTTTGCTTCTGTCTTGTCGTTTCAGAACACAGTTTAGAGTTGTAGAATATGATGATAACCAAATAGTTCTGAAGCCAGCTCTCCAACTCTTCGCGATGATCTCTGCTTTCCCAACAAGGGAACATCAGAATTGTGATATATCAGAATGAGATTCACAGTACAATCGATCTTCACGGTCTGAGTGTGGTCTTTTTTCTACCTGTCATTCCCAAGAAGTAACTTTAGTGGGTTGAGATCTTCAACAGTGGCTTTTTTGCTTTCCACTTATTGGAACAAAAACAACAGAAATGTTTGTTTAATGACGAATGGGCAGATATTAGTGACAACATGCGCTCTAATCTCGGAAAATAGGCTTGTTTATATTTATATTTTAAAAAATGATCTGTTATAAAATTATTATAACAGAAATGGTAACATATTTAACCCACACATTTTGGATTTTGAATATATATTTAGGTAAATGGGAAACTATAGTATATAATGCCTTCTGACGGGTATCGAGTACTATCACTTTTGATGAGCAATGTTTATATTTTTCTTCCTTGATCTGTATCCACAGCACGCGGCTGCAAAGTTCCCTATTTATTTCTAAGAGGTGGTTTTAGTAGGTTCAAGTCTCATACTGTCTCATTCGATGCTTTCCACCTACTGCAAAAAGAAAAAATATGATGTGGAATTATTATTATCAACTGTGTTGTTATTATTTATATATTATTTGAGTATAAATTTTACAAACTTTTACTATTATTAATTATAACAATTATAACTATGAAAAATAAAATAAAAACTAATATATCCATAGAATTTAGTAGTAACTATCTTTTACATTATGGGTGCTCTGTGGTGTTACAATTCTTTGCTTTAATCCAAGCCATCGGAATTTTTGAAAAAATTTCCATTGTTGCCATTTTTCTTTTAATTCATCAATTATAAAATGTGGCAGCTCTATAAGGGAAAAATAAAGCAATTCCACCGCGCTGATCAATGAACAGCCCAGAAATAGTCCGGCAATACCACCGAAAGCAGCTCAAAATATATCAAAAAATAAAAATCAAATATATAACAATTGAAGCATAAAAAATATATAATATATACTTATATAGAATAAAAATGTGTTTATAAATATATATAAAAATTAATATTTTTTTAGTTGAAATATTAATTAATTTTAACATTTAATAAATCAATTATTACTCTTTGTGATATATTGTATTCAAGGTCTCAAGATATAGTCACGGATACACTTTTCTGCCAATAACACAAAAGATACAAACCATTCATTTCTATGCAGAAGTAATTATTTCAGTTCAGTTTCTTTATAATACATACATCATGCCTTTATAATCTATATTATTTTCTTCTCGATGATGGCAAGTACAAATATTTCACATCTTAGGGTCTCTGAATACAACGGTATTAGTGTTATTTTTGTTTATATCTACTGAATACTTCTACTTTCTAATGAAACTATTCATTTATATTTGCTTTAGTTTCCATATCTGCGATTTAAGCCTATTTATTTCCTTTGCCATTATTTCATCCATTATTTATCCATTATTTTAACAAACCATTAGTTGCGTATATTATTATTTCCAGGTCCGGTTCAAGTTTTCGGTAAGAAAAAAATAGATACGCATTTTTAAAGCATAATAAAATGAAGTCACTCACTCAATTAATCATTAAGCTCTAACCCAGAAAAAAATTATATACCTAAAATTTATTAGAATATTTTGATTAAGTTAAGATCAGCCAGAAAGAGAGCATGAAGGATGTTTCTTCACGCTCAAGACCTTATAACCTAACAATCTTAATCTCATTTTTGCATATGCTAGGCAATATATTATGCTCTATCTTATCCACATGCCAATCATTCAACATAATTGATATCTTGGATCTACGATGACACCCGTAATAGTCATGAGGTGCTCATTTGTATTGTCCTATTAAAGTTTCGATCAATATTCAATACATAATCGATCAATATAATTCTGCAGAATTAATGGCTAAAATTGGTTTTGGTCTTATAGGCGAAGTAGCAGAGCCTTTATCTTGCCAAGTTATCTGTCGATTCATTATCTATTGCAAAAGTCCATATAAAGTGTAGTTTATTACAATTTAATGGCTTAGAAGCAGTTTGATTGTCACTATGGAAGGCACTGCGACAGTTTGACTGTTACTGTGGAAGGGAAGTACCCCTTGCTATTGTAGTGCTAGTGTTGAAATAGCTCCTGAGTTGGAATTTTTTGATGTGATACTAACCCATTTTTCTCTGGAGGCCCACTTTTTCGCATTTATTAGCTTTTCTGCTCTTTTTCATTTTACTGCATTTGATTCTTGAGGTTGATCTTCACGTTCTTAACTAAATTTATTTCTAGTATGAATACTAAAGTCAAAGCTTAACATATCAAAACTGAAACAATAAGTTAATATTAAAGAAGCTAAAAAAGTTGGGATATGGTTCTTGGAACATGAAAGTACATATCGTCAAGCGGAGGCTTCTACAATTCCAGTTCTAAAGAAATAATATACTTGCATTGTTAAGTTATATTCCTTGCTATTAATTTAAAACTTATAATGTTTTCCAATCCCATGCTCTTCCATTTTCCTTATAAAACGTGAATGGATTTACACGTCATGTTGTTGTGGCCTATTTTGAAAAAATGTATTTCCTATTACAGAAATACTTATACACTCTATTGCAGTACAATAATTTTTAGCAAAGAGTATCGGTGAATCCCAAATTTGACTATTCACTTATTCTTGAACTCACCTAATAAGTCAACCCAATCGAAAACTAGACGTGTCCGATAGAGCATTAATGTATTAAAGCGATAGTGTACATCCAAGTCGACATATGACTCATTCTCGCGTAATCTTTCCGGCAAGTACAATGTACGCAAGTATGGATTATAGAAGAGAGAATAGCAATTCCGCAGACACTCACAGACCATTCCTGGAAAGTGATTTCTGACATATTTTTCTTCGTCTTGCAAATGTGAGTAGCGCACAAAATCTGAGAATGAGAAATAAAATCAAGAAAAGTTTTTAGTGTTAATAAGAAGTTCGGCAATAACAAAAATTGTTACGAGAGAACCATTATTTTTTGCTAAGCACACTAAGTCCTTAGTCTCGCATGGAGGAAGTGTTCCTGACATATTTAAAAGCATAGAGTTAATAATATTAACTAAAAGAATAGTATTATATTAGCTCACCCATTGGAAATAGTAAGTCCATGGTACAATTGCAAAAACGCATCATGTATTCCTGATGACACTGGGACTCACAATTCTCAAACATGTATATGAAGCCCGGCAATGATTTAAAATTAGCACTCGTTATTTCGTCCTATAAATATTTTTTAATAAAAAATATTATATTAAAATAAATTAATATTACAGAAAATACGCAATGTCTTTGCGAGGATGATATGCTACGTGTCGCTTTATCGAAAAAATACATAATGGGCTCCAGTATACACATCGCTCTGGTATCGATCGGTACATTAAAATTGTCACTGTCCCAGACATTTGGTTCATTTATCATTACCTATAAATGCAAATATTATAAGTGTAAGCCGACTATGTTTCAACATGAAAATTACATTTATGCCTTTATCATTTGTATTATTGGGATAGTGTTTATGTTTATTTATAAGTACGCGTAAAGTCAGAGCACTAGTGGGCCCCGAACTACCAGTACGCCACGGATAAAATGGATCAGCGCGTTGCAAGCTACGTCCTTCTTCAGTCTCCATCGTGTTGAAAGCATAGCAAATACCCCGTTTCGTCTTACGTTTGAGAAATATTTTGCAGCAGTCCAGGCCGTAATGACGCCAAATACAAGATGTCAACAGTTCATCGCAACGCCACGTCATAAAATCAAATACCAAAGTGAAATTGATATGATTTAGGAGTTCTAAGGGTTCATGCTCTAACACTGCAAATCGATCGAATTTAGCAAAAGCAATGTCATCGTATGCAGCAATTATTTTCTCGAATAAAGCTATTTTCTCCTGTGACTCTTCAGCAGGTAAAAATTTCGCCTTGGCTGCCTCCAAGCGTTCCCAGTTGAGTCGATTCAGATTACATATTGTGACAACGGGAAAGTGCAATCTGTAGACTGGAAAACGTGTGCTTTCAATTACAGTTTCGAAACGTTCCTCATTGAAACGCTTTGAAATGATTAGGCAAACGTAAATGTAACCTGAAAAAGCAAGTAGCACGATTATTATCCAAATTAACCTGAAATGAAGAGGATATTCAATAATAGCATATTGCTTCATTTATCACAAAAGTTTATATGTAACCTCTCGTATTTGTTCGTAGAGTCACTCAGTAGTCGATTGACGCCATGTATAGATGAACTTTTGCAAAATTTGTTCGCCAATTCCCAAGCAGTTGAGTTGCGCTGCGAGTCATTTATTGGCTTTTCGACAGTCCAACGCATCGTCTGCATATCGGAATACTTACGATTAAGTATTCGCAATGCATTTGGCTGTGCTGGAGTGAATTGGGGAAATACCATAGCTGTAGTTTAAACTGCAAGAAGAAAATGATTTCTAAAAATGAGATATATATCAAGAAAGAAAAACATGAATGACGAAATACACAGGTGGCTGATGAAATCAAATAAATTCAACTACAGTTAACCTGAGTTGTTTAAGTACAGAAACCTTGCCAAAACCTGTAAGCTACTGCCATAGTCGTATAAGACCATCCACTTACCAGTACTTATTTATTAATACAAAACTTAGGTGCTTAGCAAAAAGCTTTCAGAACTTTTCAACACATTCCAAGGAAAAGTTTTATGAAGAATATTTCTCCTCATATATGCGGATCGGCGATTCCACAAATGCTACAGTTACACACTTAACGTGATCCACCTTAATATGGTCATAAAATAAAAGGTTAATAGACGCTGAAGAGTAGATCATCTACTAATATGAAGAAAGAGATGCAAGCTTTGAAAACGCTTTGTGGCAGATTTTATTGTAAGCGATAGGGAGACAGATCGAACTTACACAGAAATGGATGCAGAATTAGAACATATCGACTCAAAATTGAGATGAGCTCGAAATCAAGATTGGCTAAAAACCAAGATTGTCTCGATATCGGGATTAGTGAAGAAGTGTATCATCTATTTTAAATAAAACTATTTATTTTCATAACAAAAAATTTAATAAAAAAATAAAAAAAAAAATATTATTAGTCAGTTTTTTTTATTAAGAAGCCAAAAAAAAAAAAAAACATAAACATTAACAAAAATTTAAAAAAAAAACTATTAGAACCAGAAAAAAAACATCATGACTTAAAGCAAATACTGCTCTACAGTTCATATTTTTTTGTGACGTTTTATTTGAAGAAAAGGTGAGTAAAACATTCTTTCTGACAGAGTCTGCGATATATTTGTATTACGCTTGTCCAAACTTTTTAAGCAGCGCGGAAAGTTTTCTCATGCTCAAATATTTGAAAAAATTGATTTTTTTAGTCAAAGCCACGTTTTTAATAGTAAGACTTTGAAGTATTGAACGATTTGCTTGATACTTAGGTTCGGTAAGTGTACGAAAGTATAGTGAAAGATAAATTGCTCATGTAACTTTAAGTAATGTGCTTAAACTCTCCGAACCTCAAACTCAAATGTGAATAATTTAAAAAATAAAAACTCAAAGAAGATAATCTAGTGGGTTAAGTAGAATAACATCTAACAAACTTTAGAAATCCCAAGTAGATAATCTCCCAATCTAATGCATAAATCCCAATCAGAGATTACCACAGATTATATATAGATATACAAACGAGTACACAATTATCGTACTTAAGGTTGTCCAGTAGATTTAAGGAAAACGAGAAATCCATGAACTAGCCAGAAAAGGAGCGTCCTCATATTATACGAAGCCAAAATCATTCTGCGGTCCTTTATGGAGTTAGCCATTCAGGCCGGAAAAAGCAGCTCAGCTTGATTGGAATAACCTTACTACCAATCTAAAGAATTCATGCCCAATCAATCAAAAGCCACTAACGCTGAACAGAAAAGGTATTCGACTTGTCACAGGGTTTTTCGTTGGACATTAAGGAGTCAAAAAACATCTATCGCATCTAGGTATGACATGGGATGATAACTGCAAACTTTATCACGAAGAAAAGGAAACAGTAGAACACATGCTATGTCGTTGCGATAGTCTTGTTAGTGTCGGACTTCTGTGTTTATCAACTACCTATCCACTTATAATGGAAATAGGCAATATTTCTTCGAAGAACATAATGGCATTTTTAACTTTTTAGCGCCGTATGGAACTAAAGTGGGTTTGTCACAATAATTCTCAAAAGATGCAGTGACGTGTTGACATAGTTCCCAACTATTTCAAAAATCTGATCTTATCTAATCTAAGATTGTCTAATCGTGCATTAAACACGATGAAGTTCTTGAAGCTACCTAAATTATTTAGGTAGCTCTGTACTGCCGCTCTCATATCATTATCGCATTTATTAGTCAGAAATGTGATTTTTCTAGATGCAATTCTTCTGTATGCCAAAGCTCATTATTGGGATTTCTTTGTTCTGTGTTCGTTAAGGGCTGTCAATATTTTGTTCGTTGTTTATATAAAAACGCAGTTTATTTATAATAATTTATACTGTGTTTTTGATACAAAAAATGTTTGATTTTGTTAGTTGCCAGAGTCTTTCAACACTGAAATTTATATTTAATTCGAAATAAATTTTTTCTGTACAATAATTTTATACCAATTGCACAGTTAAGACAAGAACCGCATATTCCAGTGCTGAATTACGTTTAAAACAAAAATCGTAAAATTGTGATAACAATCTTTACGATCTACATTAGTTGAAATTCAGTGCTGAATTACGTTTAAAACAAAAATCGTAAAATTGTGATAACAATCTTTACGATCTACATTAGTTAAAATGAGTTTTTATCTTAAATAAAGACCACAGACAAAACTAGTCTGTATTATTTGTCTGTGCTCAGACGTTTTGTAAGACTGTCATACAATCTTTCAATCAATGCATAAAGTAAAGACCGTATTTTACAGTCGTACAAAGCTAAAGCTGTTGACTACTATTTACGGTCTTAAGTCTCTTTTTTGAAAACTAGTGGGAAGTACATGTTAATGCAATCTTTACTGTCTATGTTAGTTAAAATGGTTTTTGTCTTAAATAAAGACTTTATCGGACGTTTTGAAAGACTATCATACGATCTTTCAATGTATAAAGTAAAGACCGTTTGTTGTTCAAACCTTAAGCTGGTGACCACTATTTACGGTCTTAAATTCCTTTTCTTGAAAATTAGTGGGAAGTATATATGTGTGCAGTGGCTCTGTTCTCATTAGTTTTCCCCCATACGGGTACTTAGTTAAAGATAAGAATTTCTATTGAAAATGGTAAAATAAATTGGAAAAAAGTATTACAGAGAAGTCTTGCTAATATTATTCTATGATCGCTTCAAGACACTTAGAAATAAGAATAGACTTAGAATAAGAATCAAGAAATAATAAGCAGCCAAACACTGCTCACGCAAAGGTCACTGATGATGGGTCTTTGGCAATAGTCGCTGTTCCGGTCCATGACCACTCAAAATCCATTTCATTAGTTAAAAAGGTTTCATAATTAATTGATAAACGTGACTCTACTTTAATTTGTGGTTTCTGAATATTGGAATAATCGATATCACTGTTATCGATCAGTCATTGCATTCACCTGAAATGATTTTGTGTGGTTTCAAACATCACCTAAAATGAAATCTATGATCAATGGAAATCGTGTCCATAATACACCGACACACATCCAAAAACCTTCGACTGAAATTTGAAAAATGTTTTGAAAAGTTATTCAGACGTTTTCAGTGCCTTTTGATTTGATATTAAATTATTTAAAATAAGAATATATATCAAAAATATATAGGAATAAACGGGGTACTAGCTCTCAACGGAGTGGAGCACTGAGATTAGATTGATCTTTTGTGCTGTTCTTGAGATAAGTCTCAGCAAATTTGGAACGCATTATGTATATAAATATTGCCAAGATTGATGAATAAGAAAGCAGATTATCTCTTTTTAACTATTCAGGTATCTTTTATAGGTGAATAGTCTTATATAAGACTTATGTATTTAATAGAAGACTCAGTGATTACATTGATCTTTAATTTTTAAATCAAAAATAAACAAAAAAAAGTGAATATATGATTAAAAAAAATTATTTGTTGACATAACTTTTATTCTATTTTTTACAGATAATGTCAAAAATTAGGAAAAAGTAGATATGAAATTAAAAATATCATATCAAATTTAATTATTAACATATTTTCATTCTATTTCTTTAAGATAATGTCAAAATTTTAAAGTTTGGCTCCGGTGATCAGTTGTCGAAACTCCACTATTGTAAGTAATGTTGGTCAAAAGTATACATTAACGAAACTTTCTACTATGTACAATCAACAAAACGGGAGGGAAGACGGCGTCACATTTTAAAATTTTTCGTATTTTTAATACAAAACAGCGCTTCATCAAAATTTCGTGTCTTATGATTCCTAAATTGTAATTGCATTATTCAAGAGTACTTCGTTTTATGACTCCAATTTAGACACAAAACAATTCAATTCACATTAATAAAATTTCATCATGGAAGAGGAACAGACTATTATTACCACTGAACAATTGGATGAAATCAAAGAGGCCTTCAATTTGTTCGACATAAACGGAGACGGTGCTATATCAACAGCTGAACTGGGTATTGTGATGCGTTCGCTGGGAGAGAATCCAACCGAAGCAGAAGTTCAAGATTTGATCAATGAAATTGATGTTGATGGCAGCGGCGATATTGGTTTCACTGAATTCTTAAATCTGATGTCACGAAAGTTCTTGGACCATGAAGAAGAAGTTCGTGAAGCATTCAAAGTGTTCGATAAAGATGGCGATGGCTTCATAGAATTTGATGAGATGAAGTTAGTGTTGGAGAATATGGGCTTCAATTTAAATGAACATGAGTTTGATGATTTGATACATGGTGTGGATATTGATCTTGATGGTAAAATTGACTTCGAAGAATTCGATGTCTTGATGTCTGCAAAAGATTATAAACGTGCACATCTTAATTTTGACAGCGAAACCGACAGTGACAATTAAATTAACTTTAAAAGGACTCGATAAACAGAGGGCCCCACGAGCAACTGTGATTTTTTGATTAGAAACAACAAAACTATTAATACTTTCACGTTTAAATGAAATAATTGAAGAAAGTAGTTCGACCTTAAACAATCTCTATCAGCAGATTTTGTGAAAATAAATCGTAAGAACTCCAGTAGGCACTATTAATACCTATTTTGAACAAAAAATCAATTATTTTGAAAAATGCATTATTCTACGAATATTTTTGCTATCAACTCCAGAAAAGATTAAACAGATTAAACCGAGAGAGATTCTCTGTTTGAAAACTTCAGAAACTTCTAAAATTATTATTTTTTCATTATTCAATAACAGTCACCATCGCAGTCACCAGAAGTCGATCGATCAAAAAAACAATTAAGAATATTTTTAATAGTAAAAGCAGGTGATAATTTTTAAGGCCACATTTTATAGTATTATTTACAAAATAGAAAATATATCTTCAAGCTACTAAAATATTACATCGAATTTTTGTAATATTCCTATGAAGTGAGCCACAAATAATATATATTTGTTTTTTTAAGAGAGTGAAAGTTATTGTTGGATCTTAGACATCGTTTCCATACATACATGGTTAATGGATGGATTGCGCGTTATCAACAAAATACAATAGTTTATTGTACTAAGTTTCAAAATTTACATTCGCAGCATTAAATAATCCATGTATATTATCATACATTAAAATTGATAATAAACCTAAAAATGAAACAAAATTTCATTCTACATTTGAACATTTTTAGAAATGAACCTTTCAAGAAATTATTATTTTCGCTTCTTCATGGAATGACTCTATGAAGAATATGTTGTGGAATATTCAACCACGAGAACTTTAAAATAAAGTTCGGGTATATAATGTTATTAAAGCTGATAGCAGGAGGAATTAAATGTTCAATTGGCTTTGATGCCAAACTCATTGTGCTAGAGTTCGACAATACCACCATTCAGATTGTTGACAAGCTCAAATATTATCATCTTTTTCATCCCACACCTTGACTATGTCATCCAAAATCCAAGACATAGGCATGCGCAACTAAAAAATGACCTTCGAAGGTATAACCAGCATAACTGTAAAGTTATTCTCTTCTGTTATAAACAGCTCATTCGCCCCACTATTCTCGTACACTTTCCCCATTTGGTCCGTAAGCAGTTCTGCCTAGATGAAAAGAATCTGTCTTTTTGAGTGCTAGGTTCAACGTGATTTCATTGATTACAAACGCAAGCCGTGGACAAGCACTTCCCTAGCCCCGTGTTTTACGAGAAAGTTCAAGTTACTCGCATTTACGAGTACCTCTTGGCACTTATTCGTCAATGCATCTCCTAGTTGTATAACCCTTCCCATGGCGTCTTAATTCTTAGCACCTTCCCTGCCGACCTTGTGAAGCTGTGTGCTTCAAACCCTCCTAACACCTTATGCTACACTTTAATTAGAGGTATTCTGCTACTTTCATCATCCCCAACTACAATCGTAACTCTTGTAGTCACAAAATCTGTCACTACCCCACCCCACACGCTTGCACAATAATCCCATTCCCTCCACCTGCTCTCCTGCCATCGGTGCTACGCCCATGCTTTAACTTAGATCTGTAGGTATTAACCCTGTTGATCATATTTCTTTTCTTTAATTACTGAAATGAAGTTTCTATCTTGCAGTGAAAATCTTCTCTATTCCTTCATAAGAGGAGGTTTTAGTGGATTAAAGTCTTAAACTGCGGCTGTTGATGTTTTCCACCTACTGAAAAAAAAATTAAATGTTTAGACTGTGGGTTAACAGTCATATGCTAACTACTAATCTCTTAAAAAGTTACCACATGAAACGAAGACCAGAATATCCTTTTTATGCAGTTACAAACACAGGATTAGTTTTCAGGAACTCAGAAGCCGTTTCAGGAGAGGTGCAGTTTTTTCAGGTTACTGGTTAATAGAAATCCATGCACAAAAGTTGCACAATCCTTTTGATATTTTTATTAAAATTGCGAAAACTTGAAAGAAAAAGAAACAACGTAAAGATTTCTTCCAGTTTTCCAATTTTTACAGATAATTTTTTTTTTAACAGTTGGGCGACCTTCCAATCGGTGATGCTAACAGATATGTTGAATTGCATAAAAGAGTGGCTTTTGTCTTTAGAATTTCTTCCAAGATTTTAAATCGTGGTTAGTTGGTTATTCTCGTCAACATGTACCATACATCATTCACCATTTAATTTTTAATGATTTGTCAGCTTTCTACTACTTGACGTACCTACCTTTAATAAAGGCTTGAGTCGTTGCTCTCATCGACACCTACCATATGTTATACTATAAAATTGTTGATAATTTTGCAGTCTTCTTCTACTAGACCAACCTATATATAATGAGTGGTCGGTGTGTTATTTCCATCAGTATCTAATATTGTGAATTGATTTGTCAGTCTTCACCTACATAACTCAGATCAGACTCAACATTATTTTGTGAATGATTTGTGGGTTGCTCTAACCGACATCTATCAATGTATACAATTTGTCAACATTTCATCATTCGACGTAGCAGAATAGACCCAACGGTCGCAGTGCCACATCCCTTAACCATCCCGACGTAACTAACTTTAATAAAGATTTAAGTCATTACTCTCTCAGCCAACTATCATTCTACGTTTTTTCACCTTATCTATCTATCTATTTATTGAGTTGTTGGTTGATAGCTGACTTGGTTCAAGGGAACTTCAGTAAAATTTATCTGATGTGGGACTGAGACAGGGCATGAGGGCATGAAGCCCAGTGCTTCACAAGAAGTTAACGGAACCAAGAAAAAGAAGGGACTGAGTCCAATCGACATTTGTTGGTTGTCTCTCAACAATATGTTTGGAACTATGTTTGGAATTTAGAGAAAATCAAGATAAATATTACATTTCATATAAATTTATTTGAAAATTAATACATTCACATCCACATTTACTGCCACAAAACAACTTTCCAAACACAATGAAGGGGTGTAGCGGCTTCCTAGGAGAGTCAATAAACACTCGCCCGCAACGCAAACGCCTGTAAACTATGCAATATTTCAAACTACAGAGCAATAACAGAGCAGCAACAGCACCATCAACAGCAACAGCAACAACAGTTCGAGCAACAGTTTTGGAAAATATTTTATATGAGAAATAAAAATAAAAATGAAAATAAATTTAGAAGTCGACAGAATGTTCTTTGTGGTTTATTGGGAGTGTGGCTGGATTCCCCGTTTTAGGGCTGGTGTATTGACGGCATTTGGCCGAAATAAATTTGCATGTGACTAAACATAAATAAATATTTTAGCAAAAAGTAATACGAAATACTAAAATAAAGCAAAAAGGGCTGGAAACGCAAATATTCATGCACAATATCTCACAAACAAAAGCTGCACTTGCCACATTCACACCTAAAAGTGAACCAAGCGAGTATGTTATGCGTCCGAACAATGGAAGAGGGCAGTTCCTGTTGGTGGCGAAGCAACAATTGCTGCTATTTTGCAATAAATGGAATAATTAAAATCAAAAACATATTTTGCTGCCGTTCTTGATGAAAGTATATTTTTAACTAATTTTTCGTAATTTTATTATTGTCTTTATTACGGATGCAAATGGAACGGCGCGCCGCGGCGGATAAAGCTGCTGCTGGTCACTCAGCATGCAGCTCTGCACTATATGTTGCAGTGCATGAAGACAAATTTAACAAAAAGGATTATGGCAGATTTGATTTTATTTGATGACTTTTTATTTGATGATATTTTCGAAATTTATTTCACGGATATTCTCGCTTTAGAACCCATAAATTGTAAATGTCAAATAAAATTTAAAGCTCGAAGTTTTTCAGACTTCAGACTAAAATATTGCGATTTTTAAGCTCAACAGATTTGATTATTTTAGAACGAATTTGAAACTTTTTTTGCATAATTTTTTTTTTATTTATTTTGGGATTTGATAACGCAATGAAAACATTTTATTTTATTTATTTTGTGAAAAAATAACAAAAAATCAGATTGTTGACAAATTATGGTAGAAAAATTGGCAAATAAAAAATCATATTTTTTTTTATCTGTGATATTGCAATTTTATTAAAAACTGCTTTTGTCAAAAAGTTAAACAATAATTTTAAAGCCAAATTTAATTAAAAAGTATTTGCGTATAACAAATCTGAAATGCTGAGCACGTGAGAATGGCGATTGTTGAAAGGATTTTCTATTATTATTTAAATATTAAAACTATTTAATTATTATTTTGCTTTTAAGTTGATCAAAGAAAAATTAAAGTTTTTTAAAACCAATAAAACTTCTAATGTGCGAAAAATACTTTAAGAGAAGCCTTGACTTTATCTTTCAGAGTTGTTAAAGAACAGCATTAAGTCTGGTTGACATAAATTGGCATCACTTTTTAAATATGTTTAATGCTTATTTTTGACATATGTTTGTTGTTGTGTATTTTTATATAAAATATAAAAATTATAACCAATAAAAATGCTTTAACTTGAATAAAAGAAAACAGAATGAATACTGGAGGAGCAATGGTCAGCATTTTTATCTTACACATAGGGTTCGGCGATTGAAGTGTTACCTATTCAAGCGACCATATCTGTTTTGTGTGAAATCATATTTTACCGATTCAAATTACAAAAATTAATGGAAATAATCAATATTTTAGGATCCATTTACTTTAGTTCGATGTCGTCACCTTTTGTCTTGACTATGGTCTTCAAACGGCTAAAAAATGTTTTATATGTTTCACAAATGTGATCTTACGGTATTTTGGTACATTCCTGAACAATGGCTTTCTTTAGCATATCCATATGGACATATTTTTCAGTCCTCACCTTGTTCACCACCTCACCAAAATGACCCAGATGGAATAGTCCATCAGATTTGCATCAGATTTGAAAGCAATTATGTGGAGGAATTGAAATGTGGAACATGAATTTTTAACCATTCTTAATTCACACTAAACTTATTAAGTAAAACACACAAACAAAATCATCAATCAATCAAAACTTATTTTCAGATCTTTGGGAACAGTAAGACCCATGAGACAGTGCCGAGTATTGTTGGAACGTTCATGGTCTGCAACCGAAATGTAGGTCTTCTAGTACTTCGATTGTATAAAAACCACGATTGGGTTACTACAATATACCGGTGAAGTGCTTTAAAACAGCGATGGATTATATTCGTTGAGTTATTCTTTTTAAAAGTTCTTCTATATCGACAGTAGCAGTTCGCAATCAAATCCGACAGAACGAAAAGATGAGGTACTGTTTACATTTTTAAATTATAAATGCTGG